AGAGCTGGAGAAGAGGGAAACAAAGAACTGCGCTCGCGCCGCTCTTCCAACGTGGCATCGTTGGAAATAAAAACAAAAACATCAAGCAATCAACAAAGAACCAGAGGGATTCAACAAGAGCTGCCAGCATTCGTTCCGTCCACGCCTGGTCGCACAGTCTTTAATGAAGTGTCTCATCCGCTTACAATAATAACAAACACAAACATTTCCGCACTCTAGTGTTGTGCAACAATTGTGTCTGTCTTCCCTTATTTTCCTTCTCTTCCGTGTCAGCATCCTAGTCCATCTCCCTTGCCTCGAGCACGGTCGAGAAAACACGCAGTTGTTACGTGACTTCAGCCATCCAGGGACAGCGCGCCTCAAGAAGCTGTAGGTCGCTCTCCACCAACTCCCGCCGAAGCACAGCCCGCTGGTGCAGCAAATCGGCAAGCTCGCAAAAAACTTTCATGTGAGAGGCAACAGACTGCAGCTTTTCATATAGCCTTGATGAGTTATTTGCGTAGCGAGTGCGGGAGTGATTTTTCCTATACTCCTCCACGTCATCGTACTCCTCGTCCGGGATAGGCAATACCCCTTCAACGGTTGCATTGACGTAATACTGTAGTTCCGGAATAAGGCAGACAAAACGTGCGAGTCGCACCTCGGTTGGAGTGATCTTCATGACTTCGGGCCGGAGAGCGACGGAGACAATATCGCTTTTGCCTTCTCGAATGCTTTTCGCCTTCTTCAGACCCTCATGGTGCCGTCGCAGACGCTTCTCAACCCAATACTTTTTGACGGCCTCCAAATTAGCTGCCGTAAACTTCGCATTCGGAGGTCGTCCTCTTCGTGGGGGTCGTGTGGACCCGCTAATGTCCTCCAAAGTTACGCGGCGGAGAGCCTCCGCCTCCGCAAGCTCCCCAACGCGCGCCAGCCCCAACTCCGCGTCCACCACCACGCCAAAGTGCGCACGGCAGTACAGGTGGCATCCCGCCCATGGACCCGAGGCAGCTGCGTCATGCGGAGCCCGGTAGCACTCCAAGGTACCGGCCTGCTGTGCACACGAGGGGTGCATGGACTCAAAGCAGCGAGGATGATGACACCGCTCACGCGCCCCCGTACTATCCCCGTGGCAGAAGACGCAGTAGGCCAATCGATCGGACTTCCTTGCACGCTTTGCGGGGTGCACCACTCGCTGCTTCACGTCGATGGCCAGCTCTCCAAAGGTGAGGGCACACACAATGTGGCAGAAAAGGGAAGTCGCAACAGCACCTTCGCGTTTCCACCCATGGCCCAAAACAAAGGGCAGCATCACACCCCCTTTCCTTCCACATGAATAGCAACGAGCACCACCCTTCTCACGTCGCGCTAACACACAACATGGGCAAAACCAATTGTCTGCATTAGGCGGCAAAGTTTCCAAAATCCAACACTTCACGTGCGCCTTGCACCCACATCGTCCGCATCGAAGGAAACGCCCACTCTCCTCAAGCAGCTCTGACCGCGAACACACACCACATACCTCCACTGTATTTTTACCCGATTTCTTAGGAGCGGTATGATTATTACTGTTACAGGAACCATTGACAGATGTATCCAAGTTGGTCAGAGCCTCATCCCGCCTAGATGCCAGTCCAAGTTGCATGGCATAGATTTTTTCCAGTTTTGTAATTGCCTCCGTAAAGGAAGAACTAAGAACATTGCCTTCATTACACCACACGTAGTCCTCGTGATCCATAATATAGCTGCAGCGATCAAAAAAATCGCAACGCCGCAGCATTGCATATGGAGTGCTCTCGCGCAGCGCCTGCGCCCCCCAGCCGGCACGAGCAGAAGGCAAAGCAGAAGTTTTGGCAACGACCTCCATTGTAGTAGGAGAAGGCCTAGCTCCTTTTCTAGCTTGTTGGGGTGAAGCTGATCGCCTTGTGGGAACGGCAAGCTTGTCATCCGCACAACCGTCCGAGAGTTCTTCCTCAATGATTTTGTAGGGTTTATACTTGGCTCGCACTTCATCCATACTCTCCACAAAAACAAGAGGAAGAACCGTTTCATAGTTCAATGCAATACGCAGGGATGCATCACCCGCCTTTGCCTTCTTCGGCTTCCCCTTTCTTGTCATTGCTAAGATGGAGCCCCCCCGCGCCTTTTCTTCTTTTTTTTCCCTTTAGACAACCTTTTTAAAAATAAGAGCTAAAAAGCCAACACACCCTTTTCTCGTTTCGAAACCAACCACACACGTGCAAATCAAAACAATGACGACCTGTGCCACGCAGTAACAGGCGCGCAACCATAAATGCCACTTTCCCTAGGTAAGGCGATGCAAGCAGAAGCGCAACGTGAGTGAGAGAGAGAAAGAGAGGGAGAGGGAGCAGAACGGCAAAAAAAAGGTCTTTGATATCCCATCCAGCCCGGCACTTCCATTGAGGAAGAGACATCAGCATCATAATAAAGAAGAACAACAGCAAGAACAATAAAAACAATCACAACAACAACCCTTTTCCTTTTCATGTATTCAACCACTGTTGGTGATGCCATTTTTCCTTCTCTTCTTGTTTTGGCTCCCTTCTCCCTGTGGGTTTAACAGGGCATTAAACGGACTTCATTTCTTCTTCGTTTTTTTTTTCACTTTTTTGCTCTGAGGAGTTTGCAGTTTCCCAAAGCTTCGCCTCTTTTGCTTCATCTCCTCTTTTCGGGCGTCTTCCCCCCCTGTGCCACGAAGTGGTTTACCCGCTGCCTCACAACGCGTAGTTCGTGACCTTCTGCTTTTCACCGACGGAGAGCACAGGGACGGTCGGGGCAATGGCCAGGCTATTAATAAACTGGTGCCGCTGCGAAACAGCGGGAAAGGACGGCACGACACGACACTCCGGGAGCACAGCGAGGCGAAACCCACTCTTTTGAGCTTTGGTCGAGTACGCGAGCACGGCGTCACCGTTGCTGCGTTCTCCAAATGCCAAATGACTGATGCTCGTCGTCAGGTTCTTGAGAGCCTTCACGGGTCCTGCCGAACCCTTGTTGTAAATAGTAACAACACCACTCTTCGACCCCACAGCCAGGGCAGAGTCGGAGGTGGCAAACGTTGTGATGTCTACGGTGCCATCGTCGCAGGTTTCCCGCAGAAACTGCGCAGTCTTGCGCAAATCGTACACCGTCAGTTTATTACGCGTAGCGACAGTCAATTCATGAGGGCCGCCTGAGAAGCAGATATCCACCACCGGATCGCTCATCTCGACGCGGTGGGTGACACTACCAGATGACAAGGAACCAATCGTGACGGTGGCTCCACTTGATATCCCCACTAGCCTGGCGCATGAATCGGTTGCCGGCAAAGCCACGTTGCTGATGTAAAAGTCATGCTTGCCATTATCCCGTCTAGCATTGCGATACACGGCGGAGTCACGCGTGAAAAGAAACCGCAACGGGATTAGCTTCTCCGTAGAGAGCACCAATAGATCTGGTGTGTAGGACTGATGTCCCACAATGACGACCTCTTCGCCTGCAGCCCCAAGCGCCGTGTGCTCGACTCGCTTCTCCACATCCGTCTTGGAGAGTTGCTCCACAAACTTGCCGGCTGCGTGGAAGAGGTACAAGTGGTGGTTGCCACCCACCACGGCCAGTTGCCCGTTGCGATGCCACTGAACCGTCCGTGCGGAGTCACGAGGCAGGGGAAGCACGGAGAGGACAGGTGGAAGAGCAGCATTCCGGCGGTCGTGCCTCGACGTCAAGAGTGGCTCCGTCCGCGCGAGCAGTTCGTCCAGGTCCTCATCGCGGAATCTTTTCTGCGCCGTCGTCATCAGCGCGGACGAAGAAGAGACGATGGCCTCACTGCTCGCCGCGTCATTGCCGCCAATAACGCCGCTGTTGTCGTTCGCGGAAGCGGTGGCCCACGCGGGAAGCACATGCGACTGTTTCACAAAACCTGGCAGTTCCTCATCCGCATTGCGGTCAGCGTCGTCCACCCAAGCGCGAGATGCCATCTGGGCAAAGACGATGGCGATAAGAACCACACAACAACGGGGTCCAAGGCACCGCACTGACCACGAGCGGGGAGAACAGCGCATCAAGAGAAGCGAAGCGGAAAGAACAAGAGAAAAAAAAATGGGTCAAAGCAAACAGGCAACAAATAAATTAAACACATTTACAAATTCACCCACACGCGTTCGCTGGCTACCAACTGAAGTGGCGACAATATTTTCCTTCGTTTTACGCTGTTTACGAGCAGAGAGCGAAGAGTTGAATAAGTCGAGAGAAGAAAAAAAATGGGTGATGTTCACACGTGTCTCACTGCCGCAAAGAGAGTCACCACAGGCGAAATGCAGCAATGAGAGGAGAACGCTAGAGGAAATACGCACACTGAGGAGGCCCATCACGCAGAAGCAACCAGAGACATTTCCAAGCAACAATACGCGTGGGGTAACGGCACGTATCAGCGGCTGCAGTGTGAAGGTAGTCGAGTGGAAAAATAAAGAACTACACACACACACACACCAGTATGTACATACAACTTCATTACATGTCCATAAATCAACACAGAGGAAGAGAAAGAGTAAAAATATGTGTGTGTGTGTGTCGGCGTGTATCCTTTCATGCGTGCAAGAAGAGCCATGCATCATCATCATGATATACCATGTCCCTCTGGACAAGGCCTTAAATCCTGTCCTCCAAAAGAGGGAGGGCACAAGAAAAAAAAGCCGGATTTCAGCTTTAGTCAATGTACCCAACGTCATCAGCTTCAGATGAGACTGATCCAACACACCCAAATTACATGCATATAAAGCAACAAATTCGCAAAGCGTACGGCGTTGATAATTGGGTGCGCATTATTGAACGCACGAAGTGGTAGGCCTGCAGCGCCCCGCAACCGCCGTCCCCAGTCCCGCGCGGAATACGACAGAGGGTTAGAGCTGGAGAAGAGGGAAACAAAGAACTGCGCTCGCGCCGCTCTTCCAACGTGGCATCGTTGGAAATAAAAACAAAACATCAAGCAATCAACAAAGAACCAGAGGGATTCAACAAGAGCTGCCAGCATTCGTTCCGTCCACGCCTGGTCGCACAGTCTT